CTCCACAATTTTGCCTTTATGACTTTAAGACATTAAAAAAAAAAGTACTTTGCCAAGGTGCTGTTAACTACATTTCAATGGCTTCTTCTAGCCCAGGACTCTGTCATTGTTAAATGTTCTCATCATAAAATGTCACCTTCCCACATAAAAATTAAACAAATGAAATAAAAAATAAAATAAAATGTCACCTTCCCTTCCCCGGTTTCGTTTTGTCTTGTTTTGTTTTAAGCTTTATTTTAATCTGTTTGTGGTTTTTGTTGTTAATGTAAGCCACTTAGAACTAGTAAAGGTAAATTAAAAAATTTTTTTTAGAAGGAGAGTAATTTTTAGAATGTTCTTGCAAGAAAAAGATGTCCACAAAAGTATTAACCATAAAAAATTGAATAATTGGACTTTGTCAAAATTGGACATCATCAAAACACATCTTTAAGAAATTAAATAGGTATTCTATAGAGTCTGAGAAGATATCTTAAGTACATATATATTAAGAATATATCAAATACTTTTGCAAAATGAATCCAATTTAAAAATAGGCAAGATTTGTTTTTTAGTGGTTTTTTTTTAAGTACTTTCTAGGTGCTGAATTCTTTGCAAATATGATGGGAGGCAGTACATAGTGGTGGAGAGACCTCTGTTCCTTTTTTTAAAATTACAGTTGATAGCTCTGGCTGGTGTAGCTCAGTGGATTGAGCGCATGCCTGCAAACCACACAATGGCGGTTCGATTTCCAGTCAGGGCACATGCCTGGGTTGCAGGCTGGTTCCCTGCAGGCCAGTTCCCAGCAGGGGACGCATGAAAGGCAACCATACATTGATGTTTCTCTCCTTCTCCCCTTCCCCTCTAAAAATAAATAAAATCTTAAAAAAAATAAAATAAAATTACAGTTGACATACAATATTGTGTTAGTATCAAGTGTACAACATAGTGATTACACTGCCCTATATAACTTAGGAAATGATGACCCCAGTAAGTCTAGTATGGGCAAAAGGTTTGAACACATACTTCATAAAAGAAATTATCCAAATTGCCATTAAGCATCTGAAAAACGGTCATCATCACTCATTGGGTGATTTTAAATACCTATTAAAATCATAATAACAAGAGTTATTACGATAACAAGAGTTAACAAGCATATAAATAATTCTTAATCATTGCTGGTGAGACTATAAATTGATTCAACCACTTTGGAAAATGGGCAGCATCTACTAAGGACACCCTGTGACCTAGTAGTTCCATTCTTTGATAATATACATGAGAGAAATGAGTTCATATATAGTCACCAAAAACATGTATGTGCACAATAACTTTACTCATAGTACTTAAACTGGAAACAACCCAAGTGTCTATAAACTGGTACATTGGTTAAAAAAAACAACCATAGTGATAAAAAAAGAACAAACTAACAAATGCAACTTTGGTGACCTCAAAAATAGATCATTTCATAACCGAAGCCAGATATAAAAGAGCAGACACAATATGAGTTTTGGGCTTTTAAAAAATATTTTATTTATTTATTTATTTTTAGAGAGAGGGGAAGGGAAGGAGAAAGAGTGGGAGAGAAACATCAGTGTGTGGTTGCCTCTCATGTGTCCCCCCATTGGGGACTTGGTCTACAACCCAGGCATTTGCCCTGACTGGGAATTGAACCGGGGACCCTTTGCTTCACAGGCCCATGCTCAATCCACTGAGCTACACCACCCAGGGCAGTTTTGGGCTTTTTAAAAGATTTTATTTATTTAGTTTTAGGGAGGGGGGAGGGAAGGAGAAAGAGAGAGAGAAACACCAGTGTGTGGTTACCTTTCACATGCCCCCAACTGGGGACCTGTCCAACAACCCAGGCATGTGCCCTGACTGGGAATCGAACCAGGGACCCCCAGTTTGCAGGCCAGAACTCAATCCACTGAGCCACGCCAGCAAGGGCCAAGATGAGTTTATTTTTAAATGAAGATCAAGAATATACAATACTAAACTGCAGTGATAGAAATCAGAATAGTGATATCTGTCCAGGAAGGGAGGGATCATTGACTAGGAAAAAGCATGAGAAAATCTTTTGGAGTGATGGAAAAGTTCTGTATCTTTGATCTCACTGGTGGTTCATTGGATATTGACATACGTAAAAAAAAATTATTAAACTATGCACTTAGAATTTGTGTACATAAGTTATACCTAAGTAAAGTAAGAAATAATTTTTAAAGAATAGGTGTCTAGAGAGACAAACTTAGCATTTATCATAACATTGCTTTAAATAGGAAAGCTCTGTAATATAAAGGGAGTTTAAGCTTTTCGTTTCATTCAGGGTGGCTCTTATATAATGATATTACGCTTTTAGCCCTTTGGGAGAATTATAAGTTTTAAATATACCTATGCTTAGTTAGAAAAAGTATTTGTAACATTAGAGCCAGTTAACGATTTCAGGCTGAATAGTTCATTTTATTACTATATCATTTTCTAAGAATAATAAGTTATCTTAACTCAAAATACCAGTGTACTGTTGGATAAATAGATGTTTTAATTACATGTTTTTAATGAATAATTTACACAAGAAACTAAAGAAATACTGGGTTGTGTATTTTGGTAAGGGGGAGAATGTGAAATGGTAGGGAAATGGTATTTTAAATTTTTTGGTTCTCAGTAAGTATCCTTAGTTTATAAACTGTAATTCCCAAACTGCTTCCTCCCCTAAAAGACCCAGGAGTTCAACAGAGAAGGAAAAGAAAGCTGAGTGAGAAGGTAGCCACATTATGTTTGTGTTTTCTTCTTCTGTGTCTACATCATTTGTATTTAATATTTGCCAATTTTATCTTTGATTTATATTTGACAGTCTAGGGTATGATCTGGTTATGTAGTAGATCGACTAAAATAAAATAAATTTAATTTTCATTATTGTATTTTAACCATAATCATACAGATCACTTGTAGTAAAAGGGATTTAGAGTGAACCTGTTTACATTCTAGCCTGTACCTTATTTATCCTTTTTGTATTTTTAATCATTGCCATTATTTTACTCTTCACACTTAAAGGAAAAAAACAAATAAAACGACTACCTTCCCCCCACTAAAAAAAAGAACAAAACACCCTACCATTAAAGTCACAGGTAGTGACTAACAAAGCTGTTTCCAGGAGATGGTACTTAGAAAGAATGCCTTGTTAATTTGGTACAGTGGAATCTCTGCGTGTCTGGTTTTTTAGTCTAGTACATGAGAGCACTCCAGATAGTTTGTGAGGGCTGGTCCTTTGTAGAACACTGGTTTCTTGTTTAGGGTATGAATTTTTATTTCTTTTTCAGTTCTCACTAACAAATAGTATCATTTTCATATCTCAGCAGAGTTGCTTTTTTATTTGTGTGGTAAATATCTTTTGTCATGAATAGGCATCTTTTACTTTGCCAAAGCAATCGGTATCTTTAAAAAAATTGAAAAACCACTATCGTGTAACAATTGATCTAGCACATTAGATGCTTCCCCAGTCCTTTTTCCTGTCCTTGTAGCTTGTTAGTTTGCATGAGAATTTGGTAAAAAATCTTTGTACCCCTTTCCGGAAAAGTGCTCACATAAATCTAAAGTGAAATTTCAGTGTCATGGACCTAAAACTAAGAACTTCCGCATAAAGCCCTGGCTGGTGTGGTTCAGTGGATTGAGTGCCAGCCTGCGAACCAAAGGGCTCCTGGTTCAATTCAGGCTGGGTCCTCCTGAGCGGGCACACAAGAGGCACCTACACGTTGGTGTTTCTCTCCCTCACTTTCTCCCTCCCTTCCCCTCTGTCCAAAATAAATAAATAAAATCTTTTTTTAAAAAAAGCAAAACTCCCACATCATAACAAAAATTTTGAGTTGCATACTGAGAAAAGTTTAGTTCTTGGGGGAGAGTCTTAGTTTTTCTACCAAGAACTGCCTGCCCCCATGCTCCTTACCTTACAGTCATGACATAGTCCAGATAACTATGAAATTTTTACCATGCTAAGTAAAATAGTAAGGATCTTAGAGGAGAAAAATGTAGAAATGAAACTATATACATGTCCTTTTATCTTATAGGAAACATTTCTGTTTGCCAATGTGATTCAGAGAGTTTGGGTATTTTAGAGATATACCTTTGCCCTCCTAGTTTCTACTAGCTGGAAGTATTCTAGCAATGTCTTCATTAAAATAAAAAGGATATTAGTGAGACCCTTTCTGGGTCTAGTAAAACTTTGAGGACCTCTTAGAATGAATTGTTTAATCATAAAAAAATGGGAGTGTCTATTGAATTTGATTTGAATCAGTTGACATTAACTCTACTATATGACAGGTTGATAGAATGTAAAGTTTCCAAAATTTCAACTACCTGTGATAATTGGTTGGGGTAGCTGACAAGTTCATAATAACTCAGGTATTGATGTTACCATTAATAACATCAGTTAATAACAGTTCTTTAGCAAATGTGTGTATGTGTTTATATATATCAAGCAGTGTGATTATAACCTTTTGTGTATTAAATCCCAGTAATCCTCATAAAAAGCATATAAGGAGATTACCATTACAACTCCCATTTTATACATGAGGAAAGGTCATTTAAGGTCATGTAGTAAGGGGTAGAGCTGGTACTTGAACCTAAGACCTCTCTTGATACTGTCTTTCTTGGTATATTTACAGGTTTGGACAAAAGTAGGTTTACGATTCATATGTAAAATAGTACAATATTAAATAATAATATAAGAATAAACCCTGTTTCACATACTCACAACTCTAAATGTACTTGCAGATGCTATTTTACTTTTTTAGTATCGAAAGAAATCATAGCATTTAACATATCTTTGTCAGCCATTAGTCTGTTAGCTCCATGAATGGTGGCCCAATTCAGAATAAAAAGAGTATTATTTTTGTAGTTGGATTCAGAGAAAGGAGTTGAGTCTTTAGCCAGCTGGAGTAATCTTTTTTTTTTTTTCACTTACAAAAAGGCTTGGTCAGAGCAAGACCAGGAATATGTTTGGCAACTGTTAGAAAATCATTTTGCCATTGTTTTTTTAAAATATGGAACACTTCACAAAGTTGCCTGTCATCCTTGCTCAGGGGCCATGCTAATCTCTGTATAGTTCCAGTTTTAGTATATGTGCTGCCAAAGCAAGCACCAGTTTGCCTTTCGACTGTAGCTGTTACATTTTTCTTCTCACTATTATTATTATTCGGTATTGTGAGTTTTTCAAAAATACTATGCAAATGGGTATCTTGTTGTTTTTGTTTTTGTTTTGTTTTGTTGTTGTTAATGTCATGATTTCTAAAATGGAAGAGAGGTAGGAAACGCTTAAGTGCATACACTTTAGGGGGGGATAAGGGGAGCATGATAGGATAAGCTTTAAGGGAACCTAAGACAACAAAGTATAATTGTGTGGTTGACAATGAATTTCTGTGGTGTAATAGCTCAGGTGTAGTAGGCATGAAATCACTGCTATCAGAATCTTTAGAGAGACTTGAAATATCATAGCTAAACAGGTTATAAAGTCTGGGTCCATACTAATGGTGCTGAAAAGAATCACTCAGCAGAATAATAGACATAATAGTTTAGGATAACTGAGATGGTAAAAGTGGAAAAGATAAAAGAATTAAGAACTGTGGTTTATGTTGGCTGCCTATATGGGCCATATGACCAATGGTATGAAAAGAGGTTTATTTGTAAAATTCAATAGGTCCTAAGAAATTGATAACGAAAGTTGGAAAGAAGTACACTTTCCTCTTTCCAGTGAATCTCCAGTACCCAGTATGTTCTTCCTTTAGCAGTGTGCAGTGCCTTCTCTTCCCACTAATTATCTGTCCTCTTTTTTTGCCCCCTACAGACATTCCATACACCAAGCTTGGGTGATGAGGAATTTGAAATCCCACCTATCTCCTTGGATTCTGATCCTTCACTGGCTGTCTCAGATGTGGTTGGCCACTTTGATGACCTGGCAGACCCTTCCTCATCTCAGGATGGCAGCTTTTCAGCCCAATATGGGGTCCAGACATTGGACATGCCTGTGGGCATGACCCATGGCTTGATGGAGCAGGGCGGGGGGCTCCTGAGTGGGGGCTTGACCATGGTAAGGGGCAAGACATTTTCAAGCTTACCCAAACTCATGGGCATGGTATTAGGGAAAACAGAAGTGACTCTCCATTCCCTGCTGTACTTGGGTGTTACTTGTTTCTCATTCTTGTCAATGAAGGCTTATCATCAAAGACTTAATTTCCCCTGAAAAATGAGGTTTATCATCTGAATCAATTTTACCTGAAAAATGGTTTAAAATTATAAAATGTCCAATGTGAACACTGAGTTGAAAATGATTTATTGTGATTTTTGAAACAAAGAAAAGGGTTTTTACCCCCTCTTCTAACACGGACTTCGCATCCTAGGATTCAAATGTGAGTGTGACAGCGGGCACGTTGAGAGATTTATTCCAAAACAGTCTAAACCAAATGTACTAATTGTGGGTTAGTATGTGTTATAAATCAGTATATTGAGCTTTCAGTACATCTCATCAGTAGTACATCTCCACACCTTATAGTTGACGCCAAACATCTCAACTTTGGACTAATTTACTCTGATTGCCTGTGTATTGCAACTTTAAAAGCCATTGTTTTAGCAGGGTGTAGGGAGAACGTTTTTCTTTATTCCTTGAGTCATCACTACCTCCAGATTACCAAATAATTTATATACTCTTTAATTTGTCCCAAAGTAAGACTTCTCTCATTGTTTTTAGTTGTTTTAGAATAGGCCTTTGGATACAAAGAAGTGACTTAACTAGTTTCTGTACTTTATTGAAAAGCTTAATATATTTTATATGTAGAGAAATTATTTGATGTTTAAAGTTTAAACAGTGATAAAATGTGGATGAGTAGAGGGTTTATACGCTGTCCTGTCAGGGTTGGGGGGGAAGAGTGGTGTTCTTTATATTTAGTGTTTAATTAGTCCTTCTGCTTCTCTCAGGACTTGGACCATTCTATAGGAACTCAGTATAGCGCCAACCCACCTGTTACAATTGATGTACCAATGACAGACATGACATCTGGCTTGATGGGGCATAGCCAGTTGACCACCATTGATCAGTCAGAACTGAGTTCTCAACTTGGTTTGAGCTTAGGGGGTGGCACCATCCTGCCCCCTGCCCAGTCACCTGAGGATCGTCTTTCAACCACCCCTTCACCTACTAGTTCACTTCATGAGGATGGTGTTGAGGATTTCCGGAGGGTGAGGCATTCCCTGCCAAAAGTCAAATCTGCCATGATATTCTGGAATAAAACTCTTGGCACACAGAACTACTCAGTATCTTTACTCCTGTCCTGCCATCTCCTCTGCTCTTTTCTGGGTATGGGGTCCTGCCTCTCAATTTACAGTTTATAATGCTCCTCCCAATCTCCATTTTTATTGGTTCTCACATACTTTACTAATACCTTAATCCTGTTGCCTCTATTTTTAGCATTTCTGAAAATTCCATTCATGTAGCTAGTTTCCCCCATATAAAAGTCCTTTTCTTACAGTTCTCCAGACATGATACTTCCCTTCTTCTTTCTTGTAATTCTCTTTTCTCCCCTACAGCAACTCCCCAGCCAGAAGACAGTTGTGGTGGAAGCAGGGAAAAAGCAGAAGACCCCAAAGAAGAGGAAAAAGAAAGATCCTAATGAACCGCAGAAACCAGTTTCAGCATATGCTTTGTTCTTCCGTGACACACAGGCTGCCATCAAGGGACAGAATCCCAATGCCACTTTTGGGGAAGTTTCAAAAATTGTGGCCTCCATGTGGGACAGTCTTGGAGAGGAGCAAAAACAGGTGAGCAAATAATGAGGAACTAGTGGATAATAAATGTTCTAGGAGTTTTTAAGTAAGGGGGTAAAAACTTTAAGTTTTAACTTTCTTACATGGTCTTTTGTAATATCAACTCTTTGTCAGTGGCATTCACAGATTATCCTTTGTCTAAGAAGCTGCACCCATACACCAAGTCTAGAATACTCATCTAAAAATTATTAATAATTATTATAAAAACACTAATTTTCCTAAGCCTCATTTTTTTACTGTAAAATCAGGTTATTCCTTGATAAATTGCATGCTGTGGCTAACTATAAAATTTATTACCAAGTTTGGATTTAGAATATAGTTTAGGATTTTCTTATTGACCTACTTTAAACTTAAAAACTGTAGTTAATCTCCCTAAATTTAATTTAGATTTAAAAAAAAGAAAATTGTGATACTATATAATAAAACATAGAATTAAAATGGCTATCATCATCATATACTCTCCAGGTCTTGTGTCAAAATGAGTCTGCTACTTAATAATTTGAAAAAGGTAATTTTATCATAGATTACTTATATCCGTTACCTATTACTACTGAGCAAAGCATCACAAATTTGGTGGCTTAAAACCATGGCAATTTACTATTTCTCATGATTCTGTAAAGTGGTTGGAAGGTTTTCCCTAGTGTTCTTGCCTGGGCTCATTCCCGGGGTTGTAGTCAAATGACAGTTGGTATGATTGGCCAAGGGGACTTTGCCCCCGTGTCTGGCAGTTGGTGCTACCTATTGGTTGAGATGACTTGGTTCTCTTTCACGTGGCTCCTGTCCTCCACATAGACTAGACTGGCTTCTTTATAGTATGGCAAACACAGACCAGTATTCCCAGAGGACAAAAACAGATGCTTCAAGGTCTCTTTTTGTCACTTCAGCCACATTTTAACAGTCAAAGCACTTCATAGAGCTAGCCCAGATTCAGAGAAAGGAGAAATAGGTTTCAGCTCTTGGTGGAAGAAGTATGCAAAAGGGAAAGAGCTCTTGTGGCCATCATCACAAATAATTTAACACATTCTGCTCTGGCTGGTGTAACTCAGTGGATTGAGCGTGAGCCTGTGAACTAAGGGATCACAGTTCGATTCCCAGTCAGGACACATACCTGGGTTGCAGGCCAGTTCCCAGCAGGGGACACACAAGAGGCAACCATACATTGATATTTCTCTCCCTCTCTCCTTCCCTTCCCCTCTAAAGATAAATGAATAAAATCTTTAAAAAAATTAACACATTCCTTTTTTTTAAAAACACATTCTTTAAGGGAGAGTATACTGGTTAGGCACTATCCCGGGCTAAGCAAACTACTGATGTTAAAACGTTTTGAGATTAGGATTTGTTTTGCTAATAGAAGTAGGCATGGGTTGGTGTCAGCTTCAGAAGTGGGGTTATTCTGGCAATATTCTTGTTGATTGGCTAGCTTTCAGATTCTTAGAAGTCTGACATAAAGGCTGCCTTGATTGCTAGCTTTCAGAAATATATTCACTAAAGGAGTTGTCAATATTCAGACAGATTGTCATACATTGATGAATAATAGATTTAACAGTCTTTTCTAGAAGTATGGGGACTTCTTAAACAGCTTCTCTTTCCTGCAGGTATATAAGAGAAAAACTGAGGCTGCCAAGAAAGAGTATCTGAAAGCTCTGGCTGCTTATAAAGACAATCAAGAATGTCAGGTAAGCCCTGGCTGGTGTAGCTCAGTGGATTGAGCATGGGCTGCAAATCAAAGGGTTGCCGGTTGATTTCCGGTCAGGGCACATGTTGGGTTGCAGGCCAGGTCCCTAGTGGGGGCCATGTGAGAGGCAACCACACATTGATGTTTCTCTCCCTCTCTATCTCCTCCCCTTCCCCCCTCTCTAAGAAATTAAAAAATAAAATCTTTAAAAAAAAATGTCAGGTAAGAGGGTAAGGGTAGGTGAGTATTAAACCAATAAAAAGATTTTTTTGAGCCCTGGCCGGTATAGCTCAGTGGATTTGAGCATGGGCTGCAAACCAAAAGGTTGTGGTTCAATTCCCAGTCAGGGCACATGCCTGGATTGTGGGCTAGGGCCCCAGTAGTGGACATTCCAGAGACAGCCACACATTGATGGTTTTTTCCCTGTGTTTCTTCTTCCCCTCTCTCTAAAAAAAGTAAAATTAAAAAAATTTTTTGAGCTGCTTATTAGTAGTTAGAAGGATGCCACCAAAAAATCTGGAACCTCTTAATGTTGTATATAGTATTAAAAGCTTAGAAATACGCCCTGGCTAGCGTAGCTCAGTGGATTGAGTGCGGGTCTGCAAACCAAAGGACTACAGTTCAGTTCCCAGTCAGGGCACTGCCTGGGT